CATAGTAAAGTACTCTTGGCATAATGTACTCTTGGCATAGTAATGTAGTCATAACATGGGTCCAGGTACAGTTTTCCCTGCCAAGTTACATGATCATGTTTCGCTGTTGCTGAGCTTTGTTTAGGGAAGTGGTTGTGTTGAAAAGTCTTGATGTTGCCACTTCAGATAATGCAGTGCTCGTGGATTATTCTTTTCAAACTAATAATGGGCATCAGGTCTCTGTAACATGTGCAACATCTTTTCTTATCAAAGCTGCATCATGTTTGTATTATCTTTTAGACCCTCTCCTTCTATGGCTGTAGTTATTCATATCTAACATGCAGTTTGTCGGTGACACTTAGTGTTTGCAGAGGCTTGTCAGGGCAAGTACATGTGCAAGGGGAGCGGCGAGTACCAGTACTGCATTCACCCAAGATACGAGTGCGACTCCCACTTCAACTGTGCCTTCCCTTATAGTGGATCAGATGAGCAACGATGTAGAGGTTTGTGTGCACAGACTTTTTACAGAGGGTTAGTTGCTTATATTGCTTGGTTAAGTGTTGATTAATGTCCAATGATTTTTCATAGTTTTGCGTATGTATATAGTCACTTACTGATTTTCTATTTTATAATGTAACATTATTAGTGTTTGGCTTTATTATGACACTTGATTCATTCACTTACATTGTTTTATGAAGAAAGGATTCTTGAAGATGGAATAAATAATTTGAAAGTTGAGTCTTTGATTGAGAGGCTTTAGGTCAAAATAATAAATCTCAGAGATTGCAGATTAGGTATTAGCATGACACAGTAAGAGGTATCAGACTGCAGAACAATGAATTTAGTGCATGGCAGAATTCTGCATTGGCCAAATTTCAAATCTGTAGATCAGCATAGATTGAGCACACCCAATTTCTTGCAGTAATACAACATCCCATATTCTCCATGACCACCATCATCATCACAACACTGGCTACCATTGTAGGACTTGGGCTTATAGTGTGCTGCCTCTTCACCATCATTATGAGAGCCAGGTCTCGGACAACCACTCCAACAGGGTAAGTGCAAAGAAAAGGGGAAAGGCAGCAATAGTGGTGAGGGAGAAACAGGAAGGAGGGATAGTGATGATAGAGAAAGACAAAAAATGGTTCAAGAAAAGGTGATAAGAATGTTAGTGATGAAAGTGGATTCTGCATAGGCTTTAAGTTACTTTTACGTATTAGATGTGGAATGATAAAAATGATAAGAGATTGATGTTTTCTTAGTGAACTAGTTAAAAGTATGATAGTTCTTGCAATTCCTGTCCTTTATTCACTTACAATTAAATTATAATGTTTAAAACCTTGAAAGACTGTAGAGATGAGGTGATCTCAAAAAGGTAGTAAAATTCTTATATCTGTAATTTGAAAGGATATATTTCTCATCTCCAAAATGTAATGGCAAATCCTGAAGCCAAAAAAAAAAGTGTCAGTGATTTTCTCAATATTTAAGTGGATATATATGAACATCAAACTACAGTGAGTTAGACATATTAGTGTTATAATGATGATGAGGTGATGATAATGACCCACCCCTGTTACTATTGCAGAACACCGATTGAGGCTTCAGCACCCCCCCTGCAGCGCCAGCACACCCTGCCACTCTATGAGGCAGTTGTTAAATCTGATGGTCGGCAGGGCTGGGGCCCTGACGACCCCCCATCCCCTAATGAATTCCCCCCAAACTACCATGCCCTCTTCCCAAATGGGCCTCCAAAGGACCTGGCTGCTGAGAGTGATGAGTTATAAAAGAAAGCCTGGATGAATGGGAGGGCAGGAAAGGAGAAAAAGTGTGAAGGCAAAGAAAGAAAAAAACTAAAAGTTCACATGTCGGGTAATGACCTAGATAAGACAAAAACAAGATAAAAAAGAAAGAAAGACAAATAAGGAAACAGACTTTGAAACTTATTCAGGTAAACTTGATCTGTGTTTATGGTGTTTTTGTGTGTGATAATTGTAGTGAAAAATCTGAGGAGAAGTTTCATAGGACAAGAAGTTTTTGATGTGTTATTGATCTGAAGTAAATGTAAACATCATTTTGTAGTGTGTAATGTCAGTTTGTGAATGTTAGAAATATTATCATTGACATTTTTATAATCAAAGTGCCGTTATCTTACTTGAAGAAAATACAGCAGATGAAATTCGATCAGAACACTTGTATCTTTTGGTCTTATGCAGTGATAAAGGCAGAAGATGGATAGAGCTTGCCTGTAGGTCCATTCCTCTTTTGCCAGATGGGTGATATCCACTAATGTTAAGATTTGCTAAGCTAATACAAAGAAACTAGACGTATGACCTCATCCATTATTTTCTCATAGGTAGCACTGGATCACTATTTTTGTCACATGGATCAAGTGTCCTTAAAATATCTTTTAAGGGTGCTATCACTTTGCTGAGGAGCTTCCGTGTATGTTGTTGGGCTGTTATACTTTCCCTGTAACTTTTAACAGAATGGAATGTTTCTTTTTATAAAATACTATTCTGGCCAGTATGATATATATATATGTATATATATATATATATGTATATATATATATATATATGTATATATATATATATATATGTATATATATATATATGTATATATATATATATATATGTATATATATATATATATATGTATATATATATATATATATATATATGTATATATATATATATATATATATATATATATATATATATGTATACATATATATATATATGTATACATATATATATGTATGTATATATATATATGTATATATATATATATATGTATATATATATATATATATATGTATATATATATATATGTATATATATATATATGTATATATATATATGTATATATATATATATATATATATATATATATATATATATATATATATATATATATATATATATATATGTATATATATATATATATATATATATATATATATATATATATATATATATATATATATATATATATATATATAAATATATATATATATATATATATATATATATATATATATATATATATATATATATATATATATATATATATACATATATACATATATACATATATACATATACATATACATACACACATATCTAAAAGCATTGATATGATATGATAGAGTCATTTACACAACTATAGGATATAATTTTATATAAAATACACCAAGATTGTCAGGTCTGTATCATCTTAATCATGGCATTTCTCTAAAGTCATTGTGTAGCTATGTCATTAGGATCTGTTACTCTGTCAAAAAATCCTTTGGTGATATTTTACAGAAATCGTGTACAATTTCGTGTTCATAGTAATGTGCTTGTTTTTGTAATATATTCAAGATATTTTTATATTGCTGGTTAGCAATGTGTTAAAAGAAAATTAGGCCTAGAAGGAAGACACATTAAGGTAGAGCCTTTTATTGCTGAAAATTATGGCTATGAATCATTCAGCAGTGCGGAATACTGTTTTATAGGGGAAGCATACAAGAAGTAAATGCATATCTGCAGACAGCCTTAGAGATACATACAGACATGTATGTGTGCACTCTCTCCGTCACACACACACACACACACACACACACACACACACACACACACACACACACACACACACACACACACACACACACACACACACACACACACACACATACAAACGTACATACATACTCATACACATATGTGCTTTCATTATTGTGGAGATTTTTATAAGCAATTTAGTGTAATTTCGCATTTTGGGAATGAAATCTACATATATGTATTTTTTTTTCTTTATCGTTATCTCAACTAGGTAGGTTATTTGTACATCAGATTTGTAACTTCTCTTCTTCGTTGACGAAGAAGTCATCGTCTTTGCACTCACATCTTTTGTGGTTGTTGACGCAAATGGGAAATACTTACTGCTAGTCTCCTTATGGTTGTTATTCCCATTATAACTGCCACTGTTAGTAAATGGAGCTTCTTCGATTTAACGGACTCACAGTTTGCCTCTTCCACCTAAAGTACATGTTGAGATAAAGACAGAGACTTTTGACTAATCTTAGAGAGGGCTAGAGAGAGCAAGAGAGCGAGAAAGGGGGACTGAATGATGGAGATGAAGGCATAAAACAAGAAAACATAGAAAAGTCATTTTCTTAGATGGAGACTTTGGTATTGGTAGATTAATTCAGAGATGGGAAGATGAGTAAACAAGAGGAAATGCGAAGAGGGAGAGGAAGAGAGACAAAGAGACGAGACACACAAAGAGACGGAGAGACTGAGACTGAAGCAAGGGTAGAAACAAAAGGTCTTAGACTGAAAGACAGAGACACACAGATGTGTTCATATATTATGGAATAACATTTGTAATGTGAATGAATGGTTAGGATGTTTGCTTATAACAGAATATTTTATCTGTATTGCAGAATATTTGTAGTTTTAAGAATTTATGTTATAACCACCATTTAAGCCTTTCAGCTTTTTTTTTTTTTTAGATTTTTAGTCCTCATAATTTAGAGATGATAATACGTTTTATAAGAAAAGTAAAACTTGTAGTTAAACTTGTATTGGATTATATTTTTGTACCATCAATATATCTTCAGTGATTCATTTATAACTCATAGAGAGAATTTGTGTAGTCTGTTGAATCAGTGCCATATTTGAAAAGATGTAATCACAAAGTTATCTAGATAGTTTCCTGTGCGGCATTGTAGATGGATGAGAGTCTGATAGTTTGAAAATTAGATGTCTTTTATTATTTTTCTTATTTATTTATCTTTTTTTTTCCATATGGAGTCTTGGCAAGTGCGTAAATGATCTAAGTATGCAAAGCTTTGGGTCCTGTTTCCTCTCGGTTTGCTCTGGTTGTCGTTTCTGAAGTTTACGTTATTCCATTACTTGAGAGTTTTCAGAGGTCATGGATTAACTTCCCCATCTTTTCCTTTTCTGTGTTAGAATCTCTCTCTCTTTTGTTTTCCTTTTTTTTTCTTGTTCTTTAATCTTATTCTCATGGTGTCT